AGAATAAGTGGAATATCCAACATACCAAATGTTTTAAAAACATATGGTTCTATGGTTGGCTTAATCGATTTAAGAAAATAATTTAAGCTTTTTATAGTTCAGAAAACTGATATAATTAGTGCAATTAATAACTTCTAATTTTAAGGGATGACAGTGCTTAAAATATGTACTATTTGGACAACTTCTATATAAGACTCTCTATAAACAATAGGTTTATACTTCTCAAGTGCTTAAGAATTAAGGAAATGGGCTTTGAATTTCATTTCGTAAATGAATAGTTATTCCTTTCTTGAAAATAGAAAATCAGCCATGGAATCAAGAATAAAATTTCCTAAAACTATATTTATTATTTCTTAAAACAATAAATATATTTTTAAGGAAGCCGCCTGTGAAACAAGAAATACTGTTTCTTAAAACAAATTAAGAAATACATACAAATATGCAAGATAAATCATCTATATACGTATTTATATTTGTAACATATTTACGAGAAATGTGAAAACGGGTGCTTGAAGCGCTTTTATTTGCATAAATAGATACATATTTTTGCATGGATATGAATGTACATATGTTATTCATAGACAAACAATAAAATGTCATGACCATTTTATATAATTTGCATCAATAATTTTGTCGGCCTGAACTTTCAGTCTTCTTTATACCCTTACCCTTATACCCTTATAAATTTAGTTAAAAGTTTGCAACGCAGAGAAGGGCACATTTCTGGTGGTATATAAGTCGGAACGGGCCTACTATATCATATCGCTCCCATAGGAGTAAAAGTAACTTTGTTGTTTCTTTTTAACGATTTCAGAAATACGGTTTTCTTTTTTCATATATAGCTGACACAGGAACTATCGAAAATAGGAACATCAAAAAATACAAGAAAGGAAGCAGGCTTCATTGTTTTTAGTAATATAGGCATAGAAATCGAAATGTCGCTTTGTAATAACTACAAGGGTATATAAACTTCGGTTTGCCGAAGTTTGTTTCCTCTCTTGTTAATAATATGTTCTTCTTGAAACTTAAACAATGTGGTTGTATCAATCACCCTAAAAATAAGAAAGAATAATATTTCTATTTTCAAGAAAAGTTTTTCTCATATCAAGAAAGGATTTCTATATTCAATTTCTTTTCTTAAAACAAGAAATTGTATTATTGATTCAAGGACTGGCCGAATCAGAAGCGAGATTTCTAAATTTTGAAAATTTATTTGTATGAGTGTACAAGCCGCCAAACTTTCTGTGACCCTCGGTGATTATTCCTCCATATTTTAGAATCTACATCTGGTCACGTCATTGACCCAGTCACCCGTCCGTTCCTGTTCCTGTTCCTGTCTTTCCCTCCCCCCTTCAAACACATACCCGGGGCCCGCATTGCTCATACGCCCGGTGAGTCTGGGCTTGACTGTGTGCCGTTCGACTCATTACAGGCGACGTTAATTGACAGGATACCCACATAGATTTTCATAATTTTCGTTATTAGATAAACACACGCACACCAATTTAGCAGCTGTTGGTGGGGTCTGGGGTGTTTAGTGAGGGTCATCTGGCAGCATATTTTATTAGATTTGTGTTTAACCCGAGGTCGTCTCACCACCTTCTTTTTCCTTTTTTCGAGCCAGTTCACCCAACCCAACCTGCAGCTCCCTCACTTCATTCCCCACCATTGGCGCCTCGTTTCGACCTCGGCTTAACGATTTTGCTTTGTCATTTGGTCGTTTAATTATGTGCATGGAAATTTATGTGCGACTCCTTGACTTTAAATGAAGTGTAAGGACCAATGCCAATCCTTTTCCGCCGCCAGCTGTCGGCCACCTCTCGGCCGCCCGCAAATCTGCCGACTCCCGACTCTATACCAACTGCTAAATCGACCCCGACCTTGGACCTAGACTTCGGCTATGGACCTTACTTCCAGTAATTTATGGTGGACTCGAGTCTGATAATACACAGAAAAGTGCACAGAACGGCAGAAAGGGGGCCGGATGGAAGGAATAGAAGGACTGGGAGATGGGAAATCGGTATATAGGCTGATTAAATTTTGTATTAGCTCAATAAATTCTCAGCCAGGCAAATATGTATAAAAATGCCCTATGACACGCAAATGGACGTCGCTTAACGCGCCGCTGGCCGTTGTCATATTTCAGGCGCACTCGACTAGAGTCTTATATCCATTGTGGTCGGGCTCTAATTTATGTCGCTGGTAATTTGCCAGATATTTCTGCACTGTGGAGTGGGAAAGGGTTCCTAAGGGCAAGGGAAATGGAAATGGGCAACGGGTGGGTCTCGTTTGCATATGATGAGTAAGCAATGATTCAGATTGGCGATTAGACACCGAATGCTTGGGATACGTTAATGAGTGGCTTATTTAAGAATTGCTTTCGGAGGGGACTATTCCGGATGGGTTTCTGGAATGAAAATATTGATAAAGTAACCCCGAAAAGCTTAGTGTGGGGCTTCAGTTAAATACACGCACGGTTCCCCCCTCCGTAATCCTCTCGCTTATGACACAAGTTAACCAATGCTTTGGCGTCCCACGACTATTTGGCCATCGGATAGCGGGAACACTTACTGTGAGTAATCTGCCAAAGGCTCCTCGGGCGCCATCTCAAATTCCTAACCCTCTAATCCAGTCTTTTCAATTTGCAACTCTCAATTGCATTTCACTTTTCGCCCCACGTTTTTACAGCTCGTCGTCGATGATTTTATTTATCGCCCTTCACTTTCCCATGTTTGCTTTGCTGCGGACTTTGGCTGAACATTTATCACATCCGTGCAGGGGAACGGGCAGCTAGATAGCTAGATATATAGACAGACAGACGGATGGATAGACAGCTACGGCTGCGGGGGACTCAGACGGATGTCGGCACGTTGATTCGGGACTCCAATTTAAGCTTCTGAATGGGAAATCCGGCGGTGGCCACCTAGTCCTGATGTTGGCCTCGCGTTAATTACGCGACTTTTGCTGCGGTCGCCTATTTGCTGATTGCATGACAGCGTCAACGTTGGCCGAGGCACGCACGACTTACGCCCTTCTGTGGCTGCCACATGGGGCATGGCACGGCCCACCCAGACCCTCGACTCCCCCCCACCTTCCCACATTCTCACCCGATTCTCAGCCTCGAGCCCAGCTCATCTGCAATGCTCGCATCGCTCGCAGAGCTGAGTTAGTCACGCCAATTTTATTGCATTCCTGTTCCTGTTCCTCTTCCTGTTTCTGCCATAGGCGTTTGCCGAGGGGGGTGATTGGGGTTTGAGAGGGGCGTGGTCACGGCCATTCACGACTACCAGTCGCAACAATAGCGTTGGCAGTTTTCGGATTTCAAGCGGAACAATTAAGTTAACGATCTGCGGACGAGTGCCAAAGAGCAAAGTGCGCCTACAACATAGTCCACGTCCACTGAGAGCGACTCGGCGCAGGGGCGGGGAGGGGAAGTGTGGCCCAAGGGGGCGTGGCAGGACGAGGGGGAACCGTGCTTAACCGGCCACATTGGCGACCATCGCACGTCCATGTTGCCTGCGAAGCGAGAGAGAGCCTTTAAGTCTTTAAGTGGTATCAACTGCCGCATCCTGCCTGCCGGCTGGATGTCCTTCAATTAGCCAAAAAACTGATTAAGTGAATAGGCCTTCTAATGTGGCCAGCAAGGAGGGCCATGCAAATGCAAACAGAACAGGCAGCTCACTCACAAGTGCACACAAAAAACGTCCTTTTTTGTCTTGAACTTTTTAGCTCCGTTTCTGGTTCTGATTCCTGCCCCTTATTTAACTGCTGCTGCCTCAGACGGGAAAGGACTTAAAAGTAAACAAAGTTTTAATTTCCTTCAATGATTTCTCTGGGCATTTGTTTTAGGCCGACCAGGATCCGAACGCCTTTCCCCTTTTCCTGGGAGGTAAAGGCGCTCTGCCCGGTCTCATAATCAAGTTAGATAAATCTAAATCCTTTGCGATAAGCGGCTGAAGAATAGCCTTGCCCCCACCCGAGGACCGAACGTCTCCATCAAAATTGCTCCGTCTGCTCGGCTGCAAGGCTAAATGGGTTAGCCCATTGGGTGGCCCGGGGGCTGGGTCTCTGGTCTCTGGTCTCGGGACTCCGGACTCCGACTCTGGGTTCTGGAGTGGGGTCCGGGTACGAATTAGAGTGCCACAGTCGGGCGAGTGAATAGAATTTGTAATTTCCGTTTTCGTTTTGTATGCTAACCCGACAACCCACCCTGCAGCACACTCTTAAAGAGCTCCACAATGAAACTGTATCCGAGAACTGATGTTGCCTGCACTGCAGCACGGGCTTTCCAGCAGTTCAATTGGTTTCGGGGGCCAGCGGATTGGATTGGGCTGCGTGGAATACTTATGGCGATGACTACACACTCTGTTGGTCATGTTTGCGATTGCATTTAAAGATGAGAGGCTATTGAAATCATTTTCCATTTGCCGGCTGGCAAAAGGGAACGGGCGAAATGGTCTTACGCCAAGTTTTGTGGCTTCCGGGGCTTCTGAAACAGAGCAGGTGTCGCTAGACTGTAGAACGACCTATACATTAAAAAATAAGCTCGATACCGAGTAGAAATTCGCAGGTCAATTTGGGAAAGTGAGCAGCCGCGTAAATGCTGTAATAATTCAATCTAATGATCGTGCATACACCTTTTGTTTAATGGCATAGCTTCGAATTCTCCAAGTTTTTGTCTTTTCTTACTGTTACTGATATTTTATAAAATGTGAGAATATTTCTGAGCGGGAAATGAAAGGGTTCAGTCATTACATCTGGCCTAAAGGACTATTGTGAATGAAATTCCTGGTGAGAGCGAAAAAATGTATTTTTTCTAAAAATATTAAAAGTGGGTAAATCACACTTCAGTATTAAGGCAAAAAGTCTATTATACGGTACCTACATCTGTGTTTTATTGGCTTGATCAAATAAATATGTGCGTATTATACAGATTTTGGTTATCTGTGTGGAGAATGTCGTGGTACCTACCTCCGCTAATTGGTGCAGGAGACCTCCGCCTAATTGTCCTTCCGCCGTTTCCGACGCCGTCGCCAGGCCACGTGGCCGAGGAGCTGGGCCAGCCGGTTGGCCAGGAGGCGGACGTGGCGCCACTCAGCGCAGCTGGCCACCGCTATGAGCAGCATCGAGTTGATCCCGAGGGCCAGCGAGGCCGCCGAGCTGCCCAGGTTGCCCTTGGTCAGCTGGTCGGAGCAGCGGCCAATCGAGTCGATGTCCAGCTCGCTCATCACCCGACCGTTGACCTCCAGGGGCGAGATGCAGTAATTCTTCTGCAGGAAGTCCGTCAAGTTGTGGGCGCCCTCGGCCAGCGGTCCATCCAGCAAGGTGTGGATGTGGCAGCCGCAGGGGAAGTGGTTGCTAACCAGCAGCAGGTGCTCCACGCCGTCCACGATGATCGAGTTGGGATCGGGCGTTTCCAGCACGTGGTTGCCGAAGAACTTGAGGTGCTTGATGGCCGCCGTGCTGGTGAAGTTCAGCTCCTCGATCGAGTCGATCTTGTTGTTCAGGACCTGCAGCGTTTCCACTTGGGTAAGTCCGGTGAAGGCGTCCGCGCAGATCACGCCCAGATCCGACTCTTGCAGCGTGAGCAGAAGCACATTGGACAGCCCGCGGAAGGTGAAGGGCGCCACCTCCTTGAGGTCCATGTAGGCCAGCTTCAGCAGACCCACAGTGTCCATGCCGAAGAAAGCGTCCTGCTCGATGCTGCGGATGCCAGACGGCAGGATCAAGTGGCCCACGTTCGTCAAACTGGAGAAGGCCGAGCTGTCAATGCGGATCAGGGGGTTGTTGGTCAGCAGGATCAGCTTGATGTTCGACGTTCCCGCGAAGGCGTTGCCCTCGATCCGCTGAATCTGGTTGTGACTCAGCAGGATTGTGGACAGGTTCTGCAGGCCGGCGAACGCGAACTGGGCCACCATTTGCAGCGGCGTGTACTGGATGGAGAGCTCCTTCAGCCGCGGCAGTCCACGGAAGGCGAACTGCTTGATCCGCGTGATGTTGTTGCCGTCCAGCGAGAGCTTCTTCAGCGCCCGCAGACCGGCGAACGAGTCCGGCTTGATGATCGGGAAGTTGTTCTTGGTCAGCGCCAGGTTCTCCACCGTCGCCGGCAGCTGGCGCAGCGGGATCTGGTCTAGGCCGCCCGTGTTACACAGCACCTGGGAACAAAAGGTTTGCATTGTTATTGTTATTATATGGTACAATATGTCTGGCACATTCTACAAGTATCTTTAAATGGCTTAGTGCCACGTATTTTTGAAACACAATTTTTCCACCCGTTAAACACTCAATTTCAAATTGATCATGTGTTTATACATCTGACAGAATACAACTACTTTTGTTGAAATGAAATCATTTTGTTTTAATACCCTTTGATTTTACTTAAGGCTTGGAAATTATAAAAATTCACGAAATACTTGTACATCTTTTTTAAAAAGAGTAAGCCGACTTAATACGAACACCAGTAAAAAGCAATGCTTATAATTTTTTGTCACACATTTTGACATCAGGCATGTTCGATGTTGAGCTTGTGTCTTCACTAGTTTTCTACTTCGTTAAAAAGAGTTTGTCTTTGATTAGATTACTTATGGCCGGAAAAATTTGGTTGTTTGCCTTTGGCTACTTCCTGCTGTCTCCCTGCTCCTGCTGCGATGTTCGGGTCACCTTTTGATGTTTCGTTTATTCAACCGCCGAGGACTCCTGCTCCCCAGGTTAGAACCCCCATTGCTTGGCTTTGTCAGCGGACTCATCGACTCATCAAAGGTTTTCGCTCTTAATCAGTTTGTGTTTTCTTGCTTTATGACATTTCCCCGCCCGCTTTTCCCGTGGGCGCCATTGATACGTCTCCGCCATGGCAACTGACAGCCGTTGGGCAATCAGATCAGACGCCACATCGGAGGCGGGCCGTGGAAAGCCAGACTCGAAGGACGAAGGACGGGGACGAGGACGAGTGGACTTTGTTTGATGCGTGGCGCGAAAATTGAATTTGTGGCTTTATTGCTGAAAATAAAATTAAATCGAATTCTTGTTTTTGGCGGCGGAGCGAGTCCGTGGTTACTGGCGCGACCCTTGTCTAGCATTGTTTTTCGCACATCCTTTGCTCTCGGTCTTCGTCCTCGGCCATTCTCCTTTGCGCCTTCATTTTTTATAACCTTTATGTGCTGATGTGTGCGTTTTCCGGCTAAGAATTTGCCGCTCTGGCCCTTGTCTTGGCTTGCACTTCGAGAAAAAGAGGGCAATTTGGTATTCTATCAGATATTTAAAAAATGTTTATCTTCAAAGTGACTTCAAGAATATAAATGAATACTTGTACTATTATCTTTACTTTTTCTTTTGCAGTTTTGCAGATGTCAGCTTGATATATTGGCTCCGAATTTTAAAAATAATATATCAAAACATTTACGGTTGTAGTATGTTTTCTATGTGAAGTTTTGACCTATTTTATTTGCTGTACCGGATACAGAATTCCTTATTTACTTTTTTTTTTTTAAATATATTTATAAATAAAGCTAACCCATGCAAAAAAAATTAAGCTTAATTCGTATAGTGAGTCGAATCCCCCTATGTATGTATAATGTTCATATTGTTTTCATGAAATGAAAAAATAAAAAATTTGTTAATTTAATACCCATTGAATCAATAATTTTAAATGCCATTAATAAATACTACTTTAGCAATTAAAATTAAAAATAGGGGGCAATTAATCATATTTTGTATAAGCGAATTGGCTCCAGTTAATATTCTGACAGTATTGTTTTATTGATAAACTTTATTTAATGGTTAAAAAAAAAATGTTATGCCCTTTACAGGGGTAATCTGAGGTAGCTGTTTTAAGAAACAATCGAACAGTGTATGTTTGGGGCAGCACCAGAGTGTACTGGTTCCTTTCCGGTCGCCACGTAACTGTGCATAACTGTCCATCGCCTGTCACGTTCCTCTTGACCCCACCCACCATCCAGGCCCTTCTCGCCGCCTCCTCCCCCCAAAGTCACCGCTCACCTTGCCCAATTTTGGCTGCACTTCTTGCGTAACATTTGCACAATTTTCATACGCTTCACCTTTTTAAATGAACGAATTAAAAGTTTTCTTTTCTTGGCTCCCCACTTCTTTGGGAAAGGGCTTTTGCCTTTCGCCCGAGAACCCCCCAGAATTGTTATTTTTGCCTCAGTTCCGTTACGTTCTGTTCTGCTCTGTTCTGTTTCGGTTCTGTTCTGTTCTGTGCTGTTCCGTTTAATGAAATTTCGTTTCTATGCATTCACAGTCGCGAATTCAAGCGACACGGTTAAAAAGTCCCTTGTTCGCTGAACTTTAACTGGCACTGTCGGTTGAAGAGAAGGAAAATGAGGAGTGGAGAGAGGAGAAAGGAGAAAGGAGGACGGAGAACGGAGAACGGGGCCTGACCCCAAAAAGTGTGCTTCACTTTTGTTACCTTTTCGGGGCCTGCACTAATTTCGGCTCTTCAATACAGTAAACCGTTACGAAGGGACACAGGCCCCCAGCCACACCGCATCAAAAAAGAGAGGCGGCGGCCAGTGAGAGATAAGTGTGGAACGAGAACTGAGTAAATCATTGCATTGTCTATAATCCGGAATAATGAAATCACTTAAGTTCTCAATTTGGTAGAAATGACGATGCCAAGTTCCCTCTGGTAATAAGGATGCGCATTAAGCGTGCTCCAAAATCCTCGCGGGACACCATTGAATACCGCCACACACAAAAATGCGGGGGGCGGAGGGCGGTAGGCGATGGGCGGTGAGCGGGGACTAAAGTCTGGAGGCGTGGCACACAGGGAGCTCGTACAGACGCAGAAACAAAAGGAAAATAACCATTTCCATGCATTTTCGATTAATTTTCTGTACTCATCACTGTGCCGACGAGACCGGAGCATCTGTGGCCATTGCCCGACCACCAGTTCCCCAGAGATCCTCCCAATTCTCCTGCTCCTGCACCAGTTCGAGCTCTTTCTCCATTCTCATGAGTCCATTCTTCTGACTCCGGTCTCCTCCTTTGACTACTGCCACTTTTGAAGCTGCTGACGATGGTTCTGCATACAACTTCACCGCACTGTGGGCCGAGTGCCACATCCCCGGTCCTACTCGAAATGGAAAATCTGAGTTAGGGCAAGCTGCACTTGTGGTCGAGATCGCTTAAAAAGTATCTATCAAGCTGCTGATAAATATTCGTACAGATCGGAAAACGATGTCTTATTTAAGAACTGATTTAAGAAATGTGCAATAAAGAGTATTGCGGTAGGCTTTCTATTAAGCTGGCCAGGTTAGCTGAGCTTAAAAATGCAATATTTAATCAAGCTTCGTGCTTGTTTTACAGCTCTGCCAAAAATGTAAAAAAAACCTTATTTGATTCGAGAAATCGGACGCTTATAAATCTACAAGAAAATATATTCCTGTAATACCCAAATGGGCACCACGCCTAACTATCTATCAGACCACATGACCCCATTTTGGGTTCTTGGCTACATTTTTTTTGTAATTTGCGTGTTCCACTTTTTGACAAGCTGACGATGCTCGTGCATCAGTTTCGATTAGCCCATTAATAGAAGTGGCTAGGGTAAATGGCGAAAAAAATGGTTATTGAAAATGATAACTTGTAACCTGGCCAAATGAGACTCTGATATACTTCGATTAACAAGGCTACACAAATAACACCTGACTTTTCCTTAATTATTTGTTAAATATAATATGCGGACTTGTAGGTGGTCACTTAGTAATCATCTGACCCCTTTTCGTATTTTGTATTGCTTAGATCATAAGTATCATCATTTTGATAGGTTCCCGCACTAGCAACAACTGTAAATAAAGCTTTTTTTAAACAACCAAGACTGTCAGTGTTCTTAATGTATACAAGACAACATTGCTTAAATGTTTTAAAGCAAAAGCAAAGTCTGCACTTTTAACTTGATTTCCGTAGTCATTTATGTTGGGCGAGAGTTTAAGAGTTATTTGGAGAAGGAAAAATATAAAAGGCATTTTAGACATGAATAAATAAAATAAAAGTTAATGTTGTTAAAAATTAATTTATTTAAATCTTCACATCTCAAATAAGCAGTACCGATATGTTGGTGCCTTGGTTATTTGTTTTACCTGAACTTGGATAAAATAAAACATAATTTGTAGGTCGTCCATTGGATTGAAAACAAGAAAGGAAAGCTAACTTCGGGCGGAGCCGAAGTTGAAATACCCTTGCAGAATATTCTGCAAATTATATTCTCCAAAATCATTCATAATGCATTCTTAATACTCATAAAAAATCCCAACTTCCTAACTTTAAAAACACCAAAGTTATGGCATTTCCAATCGTTCAGTTATATGGCAGTTATAGAATATAGTCGGCCGATCCTTATGAAATTTGATATGTCGGATTGATTAGGCAAAAATAAAACCCATAGAAAATCCCAACTTCCTAACTTAACAAACACCAAAGTTATGGCATTTCCGATCAATCAGTTATATGGCAGCTATAAGATATAGTTGGCCGATCCTTATGAAATTTGGTACGTCAGATTGATTGGCCAAATATAAAACCCATAGAAAATCCCAACTTCCTAACTTTACAAACACCAAAGTTATGGCATTTCCGATCAATCAGTTATATGGCAGCTATAAGATATAGTCGGCCGATCCTTATGAAATTTGGTACGTCAGATTGATTGGCCAAATATAGAACCCATAGAAAGTCCCAACTTCCTAACCTAACAAACAGCAGAGTTATGGCATTTCCGATCAATCAGTTATATGGCAGCTATAGGATATAGTCGGCCGATCCCGGCCGTTCCGACTTATATACTGCGTGCAAAGGAAAGAAGGGTGTGTGCAAAGTTTCAATTCGATATCTTTAAAACTGAGAGACTAGTTCGCGTAGAAACAGACAGACGGACAGACAGACGGACAGACGGACAGACGGACAGACGGACAGACGGACAGACGGACAGACGGACAGACGGACAGACGGACATGGCTATATCAACTCAGGAGGTGATCCTGATCAAGAATATATATACTTTATAGGGTCGGAGATGTCTCCTTCACTGCGTTGCACACTTTTGACCAAAATTATAATACCCTCTGCAAGGGTATAAAAATACCGCAGACGATTTCTGCTTGAAAGGGTGATTATCACTCTTGTCTGCAACTGAATTCTGGATTCCATTTGTATAAGGTCGGCAAAGTCGTTCGTTATATTATCGAGACCACTGTGCAGAGCCACCATCCTCTGCAGACCTCGACCCCCTCCCTGAAATCCCCGCCAGCACTTGGCCCTAGCAGTACAAGTAGATTGTTAAGCTTACTTGAGTCTGGGACAAGCAGATGCACTCGGCTGGGCATGATTTGGATGTTTCGGTTTGTTGCGAGTTCCACAGGCAGACGACAACGGAGAGCGCAATTATGAGCACCAGCCAGGAATTGCACATTTCACGTTGTTGCTGACACGACAGTTTGGCGGCGTAATTGAGCTCTATTCTCCCTTGTCCGGCTGCACTGCTCTTCTGTTTCCGGGTCCGGGTCCTTCGCCTGATTCTCCAGTTCCTGCTCTGCTCCTCCGCTTATCCTGGGGCTCTTCTCAGCTCTTCTCTGCTCTTTTCTTCTGGGGGTGCCTACTAGCTTCCCAGATTTTCAGCTCCTGCTCCTGCTCCTCTTTTTTGTTGCCTACTTTTTTGGGCTCCTCTTCGCTAGCCCCTTCTTCGGCACTTTCCTTAGTTATTTATGTTTTTATATTGCGTTATTTCATTTAAACTTTTCTTCCTCTGTTGCCGCTGCGTCTTCTCTCCTTTATTATATATTCTTAAGCTTTATCATATTTATTTACGCTTCTTCTTCCGGCTCCTGCTGCTGCTCCTTGCTCCTTGCTCCTGTTGCTACGCTGTGCGGGGGCGTGGCATGCCAATAACTGCAAGAGATGGAAAGGGAGAGATAAAGAGTGAGGCACAGATAGAGACTGGTTGAAAATACCCGGGATTGGGGGATTGGGGGGATTGGGGGACTGGTAGAGTTCGAGTTTGCAGTTTCAAAGTCGAAAGGCCGAGAGTGAAGCAATGCGACACTTAAAAGTTATGACTTACTCGAACTAAATAGAAATACAATACACTTGGACGCTGCACCAAACGTACATACGCGTCCAGTATATAACCGAACTTATATATCAATGCCTCGGATGAACCCCTAAAATGTTAAAACAAAGGCTTCGTTAATATATATAGAACCGTAATGAAATGAACCAAATTTTCCTTTGACAGCTACGGGATACAAAAGTTTTACAGTATAATAGCTGATATATCCAACCTGATAGATCATTCTAAAAACAGCCCGAAACGCCAATTTAAAAAATTCCGACTCAGTTTAACTATACAGCAATTTAGTTGGAAAAAGAGGATAAACAGGAAACGGATACTGAGTAAAATACTTTAAAATAGGATCATTGAAAATGTTAGAGGTTTTTGGCTGTCTCACAGTCTTACTATCGATAATGTAGGAATGGTAAAATTAGGTAAATAAATGAATTTTAAGACTCAATTAATATTTGCAAGGCAGTTTTTAAAATATTTATAAATTGCTGATAAGCAGACACCTTTTAAAACTTTTTTCATTAAGGGCCCTGCACTGTTATTCTAGTTCCATCTAGCTTAATTCGAACTTAAGTCAAACCCATACTTCGATCAATAAAAAATGCAGATATAAGCTCCTACTCTTTAGTTGCTTTCTTTTAAGAAAAAGACACTGAAGTATACTTATAAATTTATAAGGATGGACTCGCCTGTTGCGTGTGATCGGGAATACAATAATATTAATAATTTAAAATGTCTATTTCAGTGCAAGCTGTGGCTATTCTCCCGTCCAAAGCTTCACTGTGGGCAGGCCGCAGGTGGCATTTAATTTCGCTTCTCTACTGGTCGGCCTGTGGCAGGGCTCAGTCTTTCCGGCCTTGTCCACTCAAAGCCTTCGACACATCCAACATTTATGCCCGGATTAGGGGACAGCTGGGAAGAGGCGGCAGGGACGAGGTGACAGGACAAGAGGCAGGACAAATGCCAGATGTGACAGCCCAGATAGAAGCTCAGCCTCGGGATCTCAGATGGAGATGCAGATGCAGATGCGGATGCTGAGAGATCCAGATGTTCGATGCCTCGAACTGGCGACTCCGCTCTCCAAATAGCAGCTTGCTAATCATTTATAATAAATAATGCCCAGGTAGGAGTTAAGTTGCTGCAGCATCAGCAGCAAGAGCCAGGATGAACAAAGCCAAAGCAATATAATAACTGAAATTACTCTAAAGAGAATTTCCAATGAGGCAATGTCGCCTGCACTTGCCACTGTCGCTTGGAGATGAGTGGGGCGGGAGGCGGCGAGGGCGTGGCTGGTGGGTTGACACAGCTTGTTTGAAATGTTTAAATGCACAAATCAAATATGCAAGCAGTCCAAACTCCGAATGGCCAGCAAGCACCTGATGTTAGAGGAGTTAACCCCTCTTAACTCCGCCGCCCCTCGAACGACCCATGTCCAAAACCTTGCAGCAGCATCGGCTTTTAATTGGACACTGAGGATGGCAAAAAGGAGCTGGCAGGAGCGGCAGGACATCTGAAGAGTTGAGCCTTGGATACGAAGCGACGGGACGAAGGAGCGGGCAGCATCAGCACAATTATAAATAAGCGCAGGCATAAATGCGTGACATTATAATTGAAAACCAACAAAGCAAGCCTAAGGAAAGGAGGTGTTTCTCAGATGGCTAAAGTAATCCACAGATGCATTTGCTTGAAATGGCTTAAGTGGCAGAAGACTACCGGAAAAGCATTCAACATTTTGCGAAGATACTTTTAAATAAAGCCCTTACAAAGTGATAAGAATTATAGTTTTTTTTTGTGCTAAAATGAAAATTCAAACGGTTCGTTCTCCTACCAGTATAATGTATAAAAGCGTTCCTCCTTATAAAAATCTTAATAAATCTTAATCTTAAATGAGCATAATTTCATGTGTTAATTTGTATTTCCTTTCATAAAAAGGGTGTAGCCCAGAGAAACATTAGTCTGCACATCAGCAGCAAGTTATAGTTCACGGCCATATTTTTATCGGTTAATACCCAGATATCAACATTTATCGAATCGGAACCCTTTTTAGGAACCAATAAGCGGTTGTTCTTAATAAAAATCCACATTGGAGTCTTTAAGGTTATTTACATTTTTTTTACCCGTTACCCGTAGAGTAAAAGGTAGAAGATCCTATAAGGTATAAATATTCTTATTAGGATCAATATTGTCAATTTCCAACGAAACTTTCCAAATCGCATTATTACCTTAGAAGATATAGGAAATATTAAGTGTTTATAATGACGTCAGTGCATGTTTAAATAACAAACATTATATATACACCTAAAATTGTCGAAATGCTGGGGACAAATTAATTTTAAAATTTATAAGCTTAATACCCGTTATTCAGCTAAAAAATTTTAAAATAAAAAGTTTCCACTCTTGCAGAGCGTATTAATTTCAGTCATATTTACAACCCAGTGAAGAGCACATTTCCAACCCTAAAACTAAATATATTCTTTATATATTCATCCGTCCGTTCATTCTGTCTTTTACAAAAAGTCTTCTTTCTGTAGCAGGTAGTATTAAGTCGGAACGGGCTTGATTACAGTCGTTGTTTTTTTAAATATATACATCGAAAGTATTATTTATCGATAGACTGTATCATTTAGATGACATTGCAGATATAGATATTTTGAACGATTTCAGATTAACGGTTTTGCTATTATAAAAAATCGTGCGAAATCGACTATAAAATATAGCTGCATAGGAACGATCGCAAAATTGATATTGCTTCATTGTTTTTAAGAATCGAAAACGAAATATAAAATATTTAATATTTTTACAACTGCAAGGGGATATAATTTTGGCTAACCGAAGTTGCATTTCTTTTCGTGTTATTTGTAAAATGGCATTTAAATGTCCCAGAACAGATAAAATATTTGATGGAACCGATTAAGTTTGGTTACAGAATACCATTACTTTCCGCAAAAGAGTGAATATCGCTGTGGCAACTGAAGCGAACCTACGGACTGCCTTACAATTATTCGCAGAATCGCACAGGACTGGCGGGGATTTGTGTGCTAATTCCGGGCGATAAATGCATACATTTTTTACCAGACTCTGGCTACCTTTTCGGCAAGTGCAGGAAGGTGGCAGAGTGCAGTTGTCAGTTGGATAAGAATTCGCGACTTGCTGTCTCGCTCGCTTTGTCTGAATCTAGTCCCGTCCCATACAATCGCATTACTTTGCGTTGCCTTCATCTAAAAGGATAAAGCAAAATAACAAATGCCAGCACAAACTCAAATAACGTACAGACAATTGTGTAAGCAACAGCAACAACTCCTGCCAGGACTGCATCGGCCTCGTAAGTGAGTTCTGGTATTCACGTGTGTGTGGAATCAGGACAATGGCAAAAGGAATCGCAAATGTGGCAGAAGGAGCCGACGAGCTCAGCATGGGAGCCTGCGATATGGCTCAGCATCCACTTGAAACAGGCATCGAGCCAGGCATCAATGCCTTTAAATAAGCATGTGGAATATGCGGCCAGGATAACCAGGACCTCCGGATCCGCTCCCCGACGATCCAGCAGGTCCTTTACCCGCCGATGTAGACATCGACTGCCATTTGCAGCTAATCAATCAATTTTATTAAGCATTTTATTGAATTTACACAGCAAAGTCGAGCTAAGACAGAGGTCCAGACAGAAAACAGAAATCCGACCGTGGCACAGTGGTCATGGATTCAGCCAGTTCGTTTTACTATTACTAATTTAGCAGTTTTTAAAGCTGCTGCCGGGTTTTAACAATTTGCACAGCTTCTTCCTTGTTGGCAAAGTGCAGATACTCAAATTTGTCTTAGTTTTTTTTAAATTCAGACCGTATTTATGGATAGTTACATTATGGGGTCTTATCCCTTGAACACGGGTTCTGCTGAATACAATGAATAAGCCAGGCACAACATTTTCTGCCGCTTCAGCAAAATACATTTATATTTTTTTTGTTAAGGGGTATTATTGATTGATATCAGAATTTTAAACTTTAGCTATAAATAATAATAATAAATAAATAAATTATAAATAATTAAGTAACACTATTAAACTGCAATAAATTGGATAAATTGGCCGAATTGACACAGTTTGTTTATCCCGTGCAGAGGGTATTATTATTTGAGTCAAAAGTATGCCATGCAATGGAGGAGTTATTTCCAACCCTATGAGGAGTATTTACTCTCTATCATCACCATAAGGAGAGTCGATTTAGACATGTCCGTCCGTTTCAACGCAAACTAGTTTTTCTATTTTACATCATCATGCAAAAAACTTTTCGGAAACGTCTGATTGGACGACTATAAAATTCCATATACCTGCCACAGGAACAATCTCGATAGTTGTGTGAAAGTCGATGCAGCTTTATTGTTTTTGAACTTAAACATAACTCAATTATTCAATAAATTTTAAATACATATCAGTGCAGTAAGATTGGAATAGGCCCCACTGTTCTTAGGGACAACATTCACAATTGTAAACATTTTGCTTTTCATTTAATTAAATAAAATTATATTTTAATATTTATTTTGTAATATTATTTTTGTGAATGTTAGGCATGAAACGGATTTCTCGGTCTGTAGTCCGCATCTGTAGTTGTAATAGTTCAGTAACAATGGACTTTTAAGTTTGGCTAATGAATTGATCATATCAGACGACTTTAGAAATTTAAGTAATGTTGCAGAATAATTTTTCCTAAAGACGAATTCAAACTTATGTTGTTACTTAGGAATAACAAACCCCATTGAACATTTGTGGAGGAAATAAAATGACAATGTTCATCCAGGGTGTTAAATAAGAAAAAAGAAACGTTTTTGAAAAACG